GACCGATAAATGCTGATAAATAAACAAATGGAAATTTTATCTGAATAATGTTTATCCCACTAAAATCAAAGTAGTTCTTTATTATTAGACACTTGAACTAAGTAATTCCAAATCTGTGATTTGTGAAATTGTGCTTATAAATACAAATAGACCATTCATAATTTATTATAAACAAATTATTATTAATGAAATAATAACAAAAATTAATTAACAGGTCTACCCACTTTAGACGCGCTAAAAAAAGGCTATTTTTGTAAATTGTTTTGAGGTTTAAATAATAAATATTGACATGTGAGGTTTTACACATAAATAAATACACTCTCGAAGTACAAAAAAACTGTTTTAATTTTTTTAAATATTTTTTTTTATTTAAAAATAATTGTCGAAAAATAAAAAAAGAGTGTGTTGATGAAATTTTTGACATGGATGGTCTGAATCAAAAAATTCAAGCGGTATTAGATTCAGCACGTTAATAGCTGTAGCGCATATCATACGATTTTTGTTTTTTGCAAAATTGACAAAATGGTGGTCATTTTTCGAAAAACATGTAAAAAAAATGTTGTTTTTTCACCATTTTGGGCCATAAAAACATATTTAAAATCAAATTTTTTAAAATCCCTTGATATGCGCTATAGCTATCAACCTCCTGAATCTAAAACCGTTTGAATTTTTTGTTTTTGACCATCCATGCCAAAAATGTCATCAACGTAACACTTTTTTGAAAATTTTTCAATAATTATTTTTAAATAAAAAAAATATATTTAAAAAAATTGAAATAGTTTTTTTCTTACATTTCGAGGATGTGTTTATTTATGTGCAAAGCTTCAAATGTAATTATTTACAATTTAAACTTGAAGAAAATTTAATTAAAATAGCCTTTTTTATAGCATCTAAAGTGGGTAGACCCCTTAAATCGATTACTTTTATGGATCCTCGTAAAGTTTGTTACTCAGGGGTTTTCGGGGTCGCTGATTGCGAATCCAATGTCATTTTTTTTAAATTAACCATTTCTTTTATAATTTGTTTAAACAATTTAATTATGTTTTTCAGTTTTACCATATTTACAATTCTTAGATCTGTAAATTCATCCATTATTTTTTATGTTAATTTGAATTTTCTTGATACGATTTTAATTTTCTGGATAAATTGTTTATAAATATCCATAACTTTTGTAATTTTTAATATTTTGTCTGGCCACTTACGGATCTCTTTGTTAGTACCATTAACTTAAAGTTAAAATACTTTTCAGACCTTAAATGAGAAAAAAATGTTGTGTCCAAATTTTCTTGATTTTCGTCCTTCGTTTGTAGAATCACCCATATGGGTCAGAATTTTTCAAACGGATCACCTAAAACTAAAAAATTTTCTTTTTGAACCAAAATAGTTTTTTTTGACGCTTAATATGGCTAAGAAGAATCCCTGAAAATTTTAAGCCAAAAAATTTTTTTTGTAAAAGTTATTAACAATTGAATTTTTTAGTACTGCTAAATTAAAAAATTTTTTCTCGAGTTCCAGTTGACGGATTTTAAAATTAAAATATGGGTTTTTTTCTTCTTGAATTGCACTATTTGAATATATTTTTTGTTTTTAAATTTTTTTATTTTTTATAATTTTTTATATAATTTGTTTATAAAATGTTAATAAACAAATATGTTCTTCACGTCCTAACAAAAAAATTAAAATTGTATTCTATTCCTTAAATGTCTCCGAGTGTAAAACCGTTTTGAAAAAAAATGAGCCTCAATTAGAAAAAAAGTTATTAATTAAAAACTGCAGCTGTGTAGAGCTTTACATGACGTTAAACTCGCCGCGCGCACATTGGCATTTTTTACAATTTACTGTTCAAAATTGTCTGTAACCTACCAATTTTATCGGATTTTCATGGGCTTGGTCTTAAATTAAAGGGGATAAAATTTCTAAGAGATCCCACTAAACCAATTTTTGAATTTTAAATTGTTCATATTTTTTCTGTTACTCAAAGTTAACAATTTACAATATTTTTAGAAAAAATCATGTTTATTTTTTTATTTTTTCATTGCAGATGATTGGAATCAATTTAAATTAGTCCAGCATGACCACCAGACAAATAATAATGTATAATACAATTTATTTAAATTGTTGCAAACAATGTTAATTAACAAATAGATAATTTTGGTTCTTTTTTATAAATAAAAAATTTTTTTTGCAGACAAATTTATGTTTATTTAAGTAATCTATGTCGATTTCAGTAAAAAATGATTTTAAATTTAAAAATTATTATTGTTATTGACAATTATTATGAACTGAGGAGCAAGTTTCTTTAACATTATAAACGTCCGAGCATGTTTTTGGACAAATGCATTGAATTAGTTTTATTAGAACGATTTTTGGCTGAAAATGCTCGGCCGTTTATAATGATATCTCGCTAACCGATTAAGATTTTTGAACACTTTTGGTCTGAAATTAAAGATGAGACTTGAATGATCACACTTATGTAAGTTTCAATTTTGTTCAACAATTTTTAAAAAATGTGCAGGGGTTGAAAAAATTTCCAAAAAAATTTCATTTTTAAATTTTTTTGTCAAACTTGTCGATTGCTGCAATCTTTGTATAAATTATTAAATTTTTCAGTTATGTATCATTAATCGTAGAATTTAACAATCTTTCGAATGGTATATTTGTTAATTTTCTGACATTTCTATTTACAAAAAATCGTGATTTAAAGATTAATCGATTAATAAGTTTTTGGGCCGTGTGTGTGCAGCCTTTCCGATAATTCGCGACTGTAGTGTAAATTGTTGCAAACAATTTTAATTAACAAATAGATAATTTTGAATTTACATACACTTTTTCCCGTAAACATAAACCATTAATCGTACACTTTTCAATAACTTTTGTCGCAGTTCAATGAATCTACATAAAGAAACATACCTTTATTATAAATTATAATTACATATGTATCTGTGTAATATTTAACAAGTAGCTTTTATTGACAGCTCAAAGAGGTTATCTTTTCGAATTTAACCAAACTTTCAAATGTCAACGATTCCACGAACGCCCATTTTATAATTTCGATATTCGATACAGCGATCGCATGATAGTTCATGCAGCGATCGAACGTGTAATCGATTTTAGGTTGAGTCCACAATAGGCAAAATTTCTTTCATCGATAGACTAACTTTTTTTCTATAGGTCTATGCATCGCTGAAAGAAATCTTGCCTATTGTGAATTCAACCTTAATTTAAAAGTTGAGTACTACTACAAAGAAATATTTCTATAATTTAGACATCAGGGAACAAGATTGTCACAATAAAAATTTCAGTTGTTTAGATTTTCAATGTTTTTTCAAACGTTGAAATCTTCTACTTTTAATACTTTTTAATAAATGGCGTTCCACTTTTTTTCGATTTTGCCCAATAAAACGTTCGAAAAAACATTGAAAATTTAAAAAATTGTGATAATCTTGTTCCCTAATGTCTAAACTATAGAAATATTGCTTTGTAGTAGTTAAAAGTTTAAACTTTAAACATTAAACACTTTAAACATAATGTTTTATTAGAAACGCCATTTCGGAGTTGTGCCAGTCTGGGCCTTGGCGCGTGGAACGCCCTGCCAGTAAAGTGGTTAATCGAAATTCAAAGTCGATTTTTCCAACCTGATTGTGGACTCACTTTAAGGTATTCTAAGCCTGAGACTACACTGTTCAATGTTGATTATAGGTGAGAAAGACAGATTTTCCACAATCTGCTCTCTTTCTCTGTCATCAATTTCAATAGTAGTAGTCAATTCATTCATATATAGATTAGGCTGTTTCAATTGTGACGTCTAAGTCGTTTCAAGATGTGATGTCAGATATCTGAAAGGAAAATATATAGACAACACAGTACAATTCATGAGCAAGAAAAAAATCTGATATTACTTTTTAATATTTTGAAAATTCAATGGATTTTAAACCATTTCTGTATCCATATATGTGATTAACAAAAATTATGTAACGAAATTAACACTTTTTACTTTATAGGAACTTCAAAATATGCTGAAATGTATGTTTTTGAGGTTAAGAACGTTTCCATACAACTAAACGGAATTAACACTTTGACTGTTTTCGACACTCGCCCCGAGTTAACTCTGTATTAATGGTGATTGGTTGATTCCACGGAATGTTGTTTATGATTTGATAATTGTTAATTCAGGGTTAACCCTGAGCGAGTGCCGAAAATAGCCTTTGTACTTTACATAAATTTAAAAATATGCTGAAATGTATGTTTTTGACTTTAAGAAAGTTTTTTTTACAACTATTTTATCCATAGAGATAATAATTGTAAGAAATCTTTCTTAACCTCATAAACATACATTTCAGGATATTTTGAAGTTCCTGTGAAGTACAAAGTGTTAATTCCGTTATAGAATTCGTTTGAATTACATATATGTAGATAGAATGTATTTAAACTGAATTAAATCTGTAAAACATTGAAAAGAAGTTTCAAAATTTTTTTGCCCGTAAGAATTGGATTGTGTCATCTTTTTATTTTTCCTCCATCTATTGCTCAAATCACAACTTAATTGGGTACGTAAGATGGATACGGGTCTGGTTCCCGAATGAGCTAAAACGCAATGCAGACGCGACGCGTCCCAATGCTAATCAAATGACGTTTGCGTCAAGTCTATTCTGGAACCAATCCGGAATATGTAAAGGTCCAGTCCCATGTCAGCGTGAAAACGGGAAACGTAAAACGTTTAGCCAATAACATCTTCCGATCCAAAGGAAATCATTCTAAAAGAAAATGCTTATTGGTTAACCGTTTTCCGTTTCCCGTTTCACGCTGACATGGGACTGTACCTTAACATTTACATACATTTTGATATAGGAAGCCTTATCTGACGTCATACTCGAACTTGAAATATCTCGATGTAGTAAAACAGCCTAATTGTGATTTTTGTAAATTACGAATTGTAATTCCACCTTAAAAGGTCAACATTTCGAAGTCTCTATTAACCATTATACATAATTTCATTACATGCAGAACTTGAGTAAAACGTGGTTGACCTGTGGTTCAGTGAATCAACGATAAAATTTTCATCTATTGCAATCAATCATGTAAGTAACATGTTTTTTACTTAAATTAAAATTCTTTCATTTTAATATTAATAATAAGTTTAATTCACGCATAATTAATTATGTAAAAAGGTTCTTTCATGTATATTTTATTATATTGCGTAGTATAATTTTTTGTTCATTGTGGCTTTAAAACTTAATCATTACAATTTTTTTAATTTAGTAAATATGATATTCCTATGTTTAAGTATTTCATTTTATTAATTAATTGTAAATATTTTAACTTTGTAGATCATTCACATTTTCAACATGGATGAAAATATTTTCACATCCTCTGAAGCCATTGATGCTGTGCAGTTCTGGGACCGTACAGTGTGAGTTGAAATATAATTTTTATGTCATTGTTTAGATTGTACTATAACTGAATTTTTTATTAATTATATTTTGAAATAATTGTAATTGCAGTTGATAGAAATTATTTATAACATAATTTTTAATTAATATAATTTCAATTTATTTCTGTTAACCCTCTACCTATAGTGACTTATCCCCACTCTAGCGCTTTTAAATGTACTTTCCATAGTCCCCACCAGGCGTCCAAAGAGACGATTTTAGACTTTGTTCAAAAGTGAGGACAACTGTTTAAAATGTCCATAAATAAAACAGTTTCATTATTTTTTTTCATTTTTTTTACATATTTGCCAATTAAAAATTTATTATTTACAGTTTTCATCGATTTAAAGTTTTGTTATGTTGAATATTAGTTTATGAAAAATGCAATTAATTCAAATTTCACTCAATTTAAAATTTATTTATTTAAAATCTTATTTCATTATAAATTTAAACATTTTAAATTTGCATTGAGTAAAATCAAAGTTAAATTATTTAAAATTTCAACTAATTTATTTTTTCAAAATTAGTTAAAAAATGTAAAATTTTTCTAATTTAAAAATTATTTTCAATTTTGAAAATAATTAGTAAGAGTTATAGGATTTTAATTTGTGAATAAAGTTTTCTGTACCGTTTTTGTGTGAAAGCCTATGTATCACAAAAAATATTAATATTAAAAGTGATGGAGAGAAACCGAGAAAAAAATTAGTTTTTCTACATTTTTTGGAAGAAAATTAATAACACTATTGTTTGGTTAAATATAATTTTTTTAGAAAAAAGGTTTGCTTCTAAAAAAAGAAATTTTAAAGAAATGTCCGAAGAGACCAAAAATGTGAAACAAAACTTAACATTGAAAGAAAGTTGTTAAAATTTTTTTCATTAATCATATTTTTTGCATTGAAAGTTGAAGAAAATGTGTTAAAATGAATTATTTTCAAATTTAAATTTATTAATTTTATGAATAGTTACATACATTTAAAGACCGACTTTCAATTAAAAAGTCGCATTTCAATATCTTCTACTTTCAACGTATTTTGAATGAAGCTAATAATCTGAAGAATTGTTTTAAATTTACAGTGAAGTTATTGGATACGTAAAAAAAGTGATTCCACGGAGGATTGCCGGCTCTACAGAATTTTTGAAGTTTATACTTTCCAATGGTAGTGGAAAACACATTCAATGTTGCATTTGGGGGGCTAATGATATAAATGCTCTCGAGGCACACATCAATTTGAATGAGGTATTTTATTAATATTTTATTTATTTAAAAATTTTATAAAGGTTTGTTATAAACGTAAAAAATATTCCAATAATTGTTTATATTTAAGAAAATAATTTTTTTATTAATAGCAATCATTTAATTTAATTAAATTTTTGTGGCATAACTTTTATGACTATTAAATTCATAAGAATTGAAATTATTCTATTTTTATGGCTATTTATTAATATTTTATAAATTTTTTAAACGTTTTACATTAAAATTTTTTTAAAACTAAAATATCATCTATTTATTAGTAATAAATGATTAATTTATATCAATTTTATATATTGGGGTGGTTTTTATTTTAAAATTTTTTTAGTTTTTATTAATGCCGGACAAAATTGTGTTTGAGATATAAAAAACAGATATGTATTTTTTAATTTTTACAAATATTTAATGGTCCAATTCAGTCCTTAAAGTTTTCTATGTATTTAAAATGAAAAACAAAATGCGTTTATTTTCTGTAAATTATTCAAAATTCATATTTTTACCAGACAACTCATTCTTTTCTTCTAAAATATCCAAAAAATAGGATACAGTTACTTATAAATATTTTTAAAATATTTTTTATGAGTTTAAAAAATTTCAGTCATTCAAAAAAATTAAAATCATTTCAAAAGTTAAATGTTTATAACATTAACAATTTGTGTATGATGTTTAAACAATAATTAACTATTGTTTTTTTAATATTCCATAATTGAAGCAAGGTTATATTATTTTTTTGTAATTTTGGTTATTTTTTTCTACAAAAAAGGAATAATTGAGGAATAAAAAAGCCGTAATTCAGTACGACAATACTACAGAAGAAGTTAACTGAACCGCCCTCTCTCCTCCATAAATTAATACAAAAAATTATTATAGTTTAGAATTTGCTAACAATAAATTTAAAGTAATATAAATATTTTAATATAAAAGATTTATATATTTATTTATTACATTTATATATTATTTTAATGTAAAAGATTAATTTTCGTTTGATACTGAATTTTAAATTTTCAAAATTGAAAGCTTATGAAAATTTTGATTAAATGAGAATCATATTTTCCTTTTAAAAAATACAGATTTTGCATATCGATGGAGCATGGGCAAGAGTGCCTTCTAAAGCAGAATTTAATAAAGGAAATTGTCAATTCGAGTTACAACTGTTTGCCAACACTGTTGTCGTGTCCTTTGGACAACATTTAGCTGCTGTAGATCAAGAAGAAGAAGAAGAAGTCGTTGATGTTGATTTTGAAAATTTGGTGCACTGCGAACCAGGATCGAGAATTAGTGAGTTAATTATGTATTATTTGATTTTTAAAATTTATAAAAGTGGATTGCAAATAATAGTCAAAAATTATAAAAATGTAGTAAAGTTTCAAAATCATAACCAGTGAGTTTTTGGAGTACCTCGTTAAAAATATATTAATTTTTTAATATTTGAAAGAGCATTCAAAAATAAAGGTTACAGTATTAATATTTCATATTTCTATTTTAATGAAATTAGTTATTCGAGAATCTTCTGGATTGTTCATTATTAATCTTTTATTATATTCTAATAATTTAAAAAGCATGTCATTTTTTAGAAAAAAAATGGTAACCTTAATTATTTTGCTTGTATTTAGATATTTCATAATTTTTGAAATAGTAGATTAGGATTTTAATAGGAGCTGTTAAAAATATTTGACTTTGGAAATTAGAATAGATCCGGATTTTGGGACTAATTGGGCTGGTTTTTTCACTAGGCACTCCTATTGAAAGAAGGTCAGAATTCGTGAAATTTTCACTAAAAATAAAAAGTATATTTTTTTAATCGAAATGTTGAGTTTTAATTGCATGTTGAGACTTTTTTCAAATTTTTAAAAGGCGCAGAACATTAAAAAAAATAAATTGTTTATAAACAATTTATTAAATAATTATTAAAAAATAAACTTTTAACAAATTTTTTATTTCTAATCGAAAGTATATTTTATCCCCTTTGTATTCCCGCTTGATTTATTTAAATCGGTTTATTCATTTAGGAGAAATAAAATTTTATTAAAAAAGTTGCAAATAACTTCTATAATACAAAATTTTTTTTCTATACTTTGGTAGACTTATTCCTGAGACCTAATAGAAATGTTTTTTCAACATTTCGATTAAAAAAATATACTTTTTATTTTTAGTGAAAATTTCACGAATTCTGACCCAAGATAAATTAAATTTGAAAAATTTTGATTATAATAAATTTATATGATTATATTATAGAAGTTATTGGGTACTTAAGAACTGTTTTCGTCGAGCAACGACTTGGCTATGGTCCCCAAGTAGGTACCTTTGGATGTGGTTCCTTAACTGATGGAACATATAAACTTGAATTACGAATTCCAAGTTTACGTGCACCCAGAGATTTCACAAAAGGACAAAAATTATCCATCATAGGCACCATTGAGTTTCAAGGTAAGATTTTATTCAAAATTTTTAGACGAAACTGATAGAAATAATAATTTTTTAAATCAATAATTAATTTATAAATTCATTAATAAATTTTTTTAAATTTCGGATATTAGTAATTTGTTTATATCCTCACGTTCATAAAGCAAGATGCTATGCATATAAATTTTTAAGGTTGAATAAAATCTATTGTGGCTTTCGCAACTTTAGCAGTTCTTAATATATTTCTAATTATCATATTTTATAATATTTTATTTATAATTAGTTATCAATGTAGTACTATTTTTATATTTATAATTAATTTTTTCTTTTCATTTTTATCTTGTGAACTGCGTATAAAAGTTATACATTTAAATTAACAGGACCAAGAATGCATTTGCAAATAAGTAATGTAAATGACATCGAGGAGTTAGATGGTCTTATGCGTCTGAGTCAACTTCTTGAGGGATTTCGAGAATTAAAAAGACAATTGTCTGATGCTGAAGTACCATCTGGATCTAGACGTAGATCATAAAATAGCTTAATCAGTTTTTTTATTTCATCGACTTCAAAAACAAAAATTATTATTTTAATTTGCGAATATTGTTGAGTCTTTAAAATGGTACTCATGATAGTAGAAAAACCATATATTTTGGAAGCCAAATATAGTTTCTTTAGTGGTTATTTGAAACTTTTACCGTAATATCATTTATAATATTATTTCTCAAAAAATTAACAATTTCACAGTTATTTTTGTGATAATAATTAAATTTTTGTTAAAATTATGGAAGGAAACATATTTTTTTTGAAGGAAATTTTTTAGAAAAATTACATCTCCTTCAATTTATTAGTTACACAGAGTTCTATTTAGTTGTCTATTACTTCTAACTTAGGGTGCACAGATAATAAATAGTACATTAGCGGTTTTTGTTTTTTTGCATAAAAAAGTTATTCAATTACGGTATGAATTTGAAATACCTAATTTAACGTTGCAAAGTAGGTACAGTTTATTTTTCGAGCGTCTAATGGACTATTGTAGGATCACCCTTAGTTGTAAATAATTTTTTTCCATTAGTTATTTCCATTTAAAATAAAATCTGAGAATATAAGTAATATTTTAATTTTATTACATTAAAAATTATTCAATACCGGTATGAGTTTCAAATATCTAATTTAATGTGTCATTTGTACCTTCGAAAGTATTAAACTAGAATTACTACGATTAGGAATGAAAAGGATATTTGTTAATGTTGAAAATGCCTTGTAATTTAACTAAATTGTTTGAATTATGTAATATTTTACTTTAAACCAACGAAAGTTTTTATTTTTTCATTTCATTTCATAGAAAACAACATTTTTGTTAGGTTGACAGTCATTGTCAAAAAAATCTTTTGTTTATATTCTTATAAATGCTGCAAATGTTTATTTTGTATTCTTATCAATTTTGCATAGTTCAACTATTATTTAGTCTATTATAAGGAATGTTACATAACAATTTTTGTGATACAGAATTGTGATATAGAAATGGAACTAACTATACATCTGTTTTCTAAATAGAAAAAAATATTATTCAATAAAAAAATATTTTCTAAAATTTTGTATATGTTATTTATAAGTTACTTTTTTTTATTTTATAAAAATTTAACTATTGCTATATTTACTTATTGATAACGTATGTGAATTCCTAATAGCTTCTTTGCTTGATGTTGAGATAAACATGAACTGATTTTTAGGTGTACTAAAAATTATATGCTAATACCGGTCGGATAGCAGTAGAAGGCACAGAGGCGCGCACTACTCTCCCACTGCGGTATTATGCTGCCTCTACATTGCTGAGAAAAAAAGAATAACGCGTAATACGAACGCAAAACGCGAAAAATTAAGATGTATTATTTTCGCGTTTGCGTCTCTTGTTTTTATCCTTTTTCAGGCTATCTACAATAGGGAAAAAAGTTGAGAAACGCGCGACGCAAACGCGAAACGCGAGAAAAATACATGGCAATTTCTCGCGTTTCGCGTCTTACTTTCTAATTGTAGATACAGCTTCAATTGCCTCTACATGGCAAAGAAAAACTGAAAAACGCGAGACGCGAAACGCGAAAAAATACATGGGAATTTTTCGCGTTCGCTTCGCGCGTTTTTAAACAATTAAAACAATTATTTTGTATTTCTTTTTCCTTCTAAGACGTGTTTTATTTAATGCTAATGTTTTAATTATTGTAAAAATCATTATTCTTAAGAAAAAAAATATTTAAAACTTTGTTAAATGTTATTTTTTCATATTCTAACAATATTTTCCTATTCAAATGCATGTTACTGTAGGCCTACACACGCGCAGCGCCACGGTGTGGTGAAACATTTCTCTCCTAGCATTAAGGTCTGGCCATTCTTTTTAGTGTCAGACCGGGGTGGTTCATATGATGAATTCTCTATACTATACTTTCCAAGAATTATTCCTCATCTTGGTGAAGAAATATAATACAAATTTTAAATTCAAAAAAATACCACTTACAAGGAAACTACTATCAATTTAAGATATCAACAACTGTACACTATGATTTTTTCTAATTGAAAATCATTAAATATGGTTTCTCTACTTATGGCAAAAGAATATTTTAAATGTAAATTTGAAAAATAGGTAATCGAATCCAAAGCTGTTGTAAACTATATGGTCAAGATAGAAAAATACTGAGCAATTTAAGCGCTAATTTTAAACGATTTCTGTCGACCTGGATTTTTTGCAGATAAAAATGTTTCATGATACGCTCGTAAAGAAAAAGTGTACGCGCCTCCTCTAATGGGGGCGCATAGTTTCAAAGCAGGCGTATATTGCCTGGAGCTAACACCCACGCATCGGCGGTTATTATATTATACCGAGAGAGGTATTAAATGGTTTACGTATATATATGTTTGGAGTCCACATAGTGAGATACATATATACAATATAGTTAAGGTTAATTAACAGAGGATATTGTATTCTGTTAAAGGTCCCAAAAGCCGATATGTATAATCTTTTATGTTATACTACCATCATCATTCTATTATTATCAATTTTTCATATTACTAGTATTTTCCTCAGTAAAATAAAATTATTTTCCTTTAAATAATATAGTTTAATTTACAAAACAATCAACTTAAAATTCGTTTCAAGTAAATTAGCATTAAATTTTGGAAATTAAATTTCATTTGTCAAATAAATATTGTTCATCAACATTATAATTTTCATTTACAATTTAAGCTACAATCGTTTCTAGCTAGTGTCAATTTCGATAATCATTTTAAGTTATAGAAATGAAAAAACTAGGAGAGACTATGAGGCGAAAGGTTAAATTTTGTATAAATGATTTTTTTAGACAATATAATCCGCTTAGATGCAAAAATTTGTATATCAATATTGTAGGGCAACTTGTCCTCTAAAACTTTCAATAAAAAAGTTTCTGATATTTTTCTGGGGCTAAATGTTGAATTCTATTTTTAGCCTACTAAAATTATTATCTGATAGGTGTTAAGTAGTAGATAAGTTAAAGTATACGTAAACAAGTAATTTAGTTAATGAAAGACATATCTTTTAATAAAAACACAGTTTTTTTAATAAACACATATGTTTATTTAACAAAAGCTTTAGAACAGTTATAAAATTAATAATCTAAAATTTCAAACAAACAAAAAATTTGGTTTATTTCACGTGAGCGGTCTTGTTTTTTACAGAGTACTTACCTAATGTCAAATAAATAATTTCTAAACAAATAAACCCAAAAAAAACGAAAAATGTAAAAAATATTTTTTACAACATGTAAAAATACATTTAACTTTTCGCCCCAGGGTGCATTTTTGGCTTTAACAACAAATATAAAAATTTGACTAAAGATATTTAGCAAATACCTTCAGGTATCTCTTCAGGGGACCCAAATAAGAACCTAAAAAATCGCGATGAGAATAAATTCAAAAAATATACTTAAAAGTTGATATTTTCTTTTACGCAAAAATTTTCAAAAGTAGAATGAAAAAAAATTTAAATATGGACACCACAAAAATGAACAGAATGTCATATAACTCCGGATATTATTTAGAGTGATAACACCCTTCTATAATTAAAATTGCAATACTCTAACTATTTTCGTTTGAAAGATAACTAATTTTAACTGTTTTGACAGTTTTACTTTTCGCCCTAGTCTCCCCTACCCGTGTGGAAATTTGTCATGGAAGTTTCGAGTCTCTGTATCGTAGTACTTGATTCATTATTGTTTCTAGACAGTTTTCTGTTGAATACTTAATTAAAATGTTCAATTAATATAACAAGCTTTGATTTGAATTTGTCTAGTTTGTGGTGCCACCTATATCTAATGTGTAAAACTTCACCTCCTCCTTTTTTGTTCGTCGTCTCTCTGTCTTTAAGTCGCCTTTCAGGTCTTACACGTTCTTTGTTTATCTTTGATATTATACGTTTTTCACTTGAATATTAAACAATTCATTTACATAAATAGTGTCATTTTTATTTAAATAGATCCTGGCTTCAATAGGTTATGGGCCCAGGTCTCGCGGTCGTGTAAATAGTCGGTAAAAAGCTAAAATCGAGTAGTCAAAAAAATGTGAGGTTAGCGTCCGAGTTAAAAGCGTCATTCAGTGAACTTGAAAATGAATTCCACGCTCTCGTCGCGAATAGAATTGTTATCGAAAGATAACTTTGACTCTTGGAAGTTGCAAATAGAAGCACTTCTAGTTATGAACGATACTTGGGAATATGTGAGTGGTGAAAAAGTGAGGCCTTTGATTCCAGCCGAAGTTGCTGAGGGACGCGAAGCGGCAGTGGCGAGGGCAAAAGAATGGGATGTTGCTGATCGAAAGGCACGTTCAGCCTTGATTTTGTCCATCAGTCCAGCAGAATTACAACAAATTAAAGACTGTGTAACATCTCATGACATATGGACGAAACTGCACGGAATATTTCAGTCGAAGGGGCCGGCAAGAAGAGCGACTCTTTTGAAGCAGCTAATGCTTCATAAAATGTCAGAGAATGGTGATGTACGGGAACATATTCGGAGGTTTTCCGAAACTGTAGGCAAGTTGAAGGAAATGGAAATTCCGATTGTCGATGATCTTTTATCGTGCATGTTGCTTTATAGTCTTCCTGCGTCTTATGAGAACTTCCGGTGTGCTATAGAAACACGCGATGAACTGCCGAGTCCTGAAATACTTAAAATAAAGATAATAGAAGAAACTGATGCCCGAAAATCGAAAACTCGATTTGAAGCAATGCCGAATGCCATGGTTGTTAAACCAGCTGGAGGAAATAACAATTTCAAAAAAAAATTGAAACCACAACGAAGTGACAAGAAGGAAAATCAGAATTCGCAAAAAAGTTTTCCATACAAGTGACACAGATGCCACAAAATCAGTCACAAAGCTGCAGAAAGTGATGAGGTAATCGATCCAAATAAATCACAGCAGAAGGCAAGTACGGCAGAGGAAACGTGTTGGCTCATTACTTCTCATCAGGAAAGTGCTCTTAAAGTTGAACAGTGCTATACAGAAACTAGATTGTGTCTCGACAGTGGGTGTACTTCCCACATGTCTCATGATGAAAAGTTATTTGTAGATAAAAGTGAATGTGATAATAAATTAAATCTAGCAAACCACGCCTCGACTATGGTGTTGGGAAAAGGAACTGTAAAACTCGAAGTTGATAACGGTCGCGATTGTAATATTATTAAACTCGAAAATACACTTTATGTTCCGGATCTTAGAATGGACTTGATGTCAGTTGGAAAAATCACTGACAGAGGTTTTGATGTGATTTTTAAGAAAGAAAAAGCCTTGGTTCAAAATAGTGATGGTGAAATTAAAATAGTCGCAGATCGAATTAACGGGCTTTATTTTGTGCGGGAAAATTCTGAAGTCGCAAGTGCCGTGAGTGAGGATAAAGGTGTGTCTAAAATTGAATTGTGGCACAAGAGACTTGGAAATTTGAATGAAAAGTCTTTAAAAAGTATCGTGAGTGAAAAGAAAGTTCTCGGAGTTGAATTCGATACCAAAGACAAGTTACCAGTATGTGAATCGTGTTTAACCGGAAAATTTTCACAGACTCCGTTTCCGAAAAAGTCGTTGCGAAAAACTCAAGTTCTTGAAATTATTCACTTAGATGTGTGTGGACCAATGAGGACACAGTCACTCGGCGGTGCACGGTATTTCGTTACCTTTATAGACGATGCCTCTCGGTGGTGCGAATTAAAATTTTTAAAGCACAAAAGTGATGTCATGGAAGCGTTTAAAGTCTTCAAAGCTGCTGTTCAAAATCAGACTGGCCGAAAAATTAAAGTTCTTCAGTCGGATAATGGAGGAGAATATTGCTCAAAGGAATTCGATAAATATCTCGAGGAATGTGGAATCCAACGACGTCTTACAGTAC